ACACAGATTAATATCAACACATTAGATGTGGACTTCTGGGCCAGGGACAGTGGATCATGCATGGCACAGAAGTAAATTATGAAGTTGGGGAAGAATGTGTTTGCTCAGAATGAAGTTTTCTTTAATAGGATAATTTTAAACCAAGTATTGAAAGAGAGAGAAAAAAAAACAACCAGAATAAAATGTCCATAGTCCATGTAGCTCACAGAATAGGTCTCTATAGTAGGGAAAAATAAGATGACAACTACTTGTATGAAGAGTTGTCACAGGGTGTGGGGTCAGACTGAACTGGAGGGTAAGAGTAGAACCAATTATCAAAGCTGGCTAAAGTTAGATGGAAGTGAAATTCAGCTAAAATATGAAAGAAATTAGAAGATGAAGTTTTTAGTCCACCGTGTCTGAGGGTAATCATACATATCCTTGATAGATCCTTATGAGAATGAGAGTGTTTAAGAAGTGAATGGGTTTCTGGAGAAGGTCTTTTGAACCTAAAACTGTTAAGTCTTCCTTGGTAGTAATTATAGCACAATTAGCAACACTTCCGTACAACTCACCTAGCTATTTGATGACATCCTCTCTCTCAGTTCTCAGCTTCTACTTCACTAACTCCATTTTCTGTTGTCTAGTGTTTTATACCTCTTACAATTTGAGAACTCTTTTCCATTTGATGTAGGAACCACATGTGAATAAAATTAAGTTTTATCAACTAGCTGTAGTTCTTAACACTTATGGAAAACAAATTGATAATTTTTTAGAAGAACAAAAGATTTGTATCAAAGATCAGGTTATAGTAAGGAGAAATTTGGTAAGGTGAGTATCTCTTCCTTATTTCCATTTGTTTCACAGTAAGCATTACAGAATAATGACCTCCTAAACATTTTCCCCATGGCTAACCAGAAATTATTACAGAACAAAACAATACTGAAAACTCATCTAGCAAAAAAATCTAAAAACGTAATTTTTAAATGGGCAAAGGACTTGAATATACATTTCTCCAAAAAAGATGTACGAATTGCCAATAAGCACATAACTCACTCATTAGGGAAATGCAAATCAAAAACACAAAAGATGACAAATATCAGTAAGGATATGGAGAAACTTGAGAATGTGCATGGCTGTTGGGAATGTAAAATGGTACATCTGCTGTGGGAAACAGTATGACAGTTTGTGAAAAAGTTAAACCTAGTATTACCATGTGATCCAGCAATTCCACTTCTAGGTATACACCCAAAATAATTGAAAGCAGGAACTCCAACAATCATTTGTACACTATGTTTAAAGCAACATTATTCACAAAATCCAAAAGGTGGAAACAATCCAAATGCCCACTGGCAAATGGATGGAAAAGCAACATGTTGTGTAGCCAAACAACTGAGTATTACTCAGCCTTGAAAAGGAATGAATTTCTGATACATGCTACAATATGGATGAAGGCAGAAAAAAATATGCTAACTGAAATAAGTCAACACAAAAGGACAAATAATGTATGACTCCAACTCACATAAGGCACATAGAATAGGCAAATCAATAGAGACAGAAAATAAAATGAAATTAAGGAAATGGAGGAAGAGAGAATTATTCTTCAACAGATAAAGAGTTTTAGTTTGGATTGTCAAATAGTTCTGGAAATGGATGGTGATGATTGTACAGCTTGTGAATGTGCTTAATGCTGCTTGACTTTAAACAAATGAATTTATCACTTAAAACTATGAAATAGTAAATGTAATGTTTCATGGATTTTACCACATTAAAAAAATTTAAGAATTCAGCTGGGAATAAAAGTAAGTATTAAATAGGAAAAAGTAAGTGGTCATATATTTTTTCTTAATTCCATTTAATAGAAAGTAAAATAAATTGAAAAAAATGTATTTAGAGTAGTGCTAGTAATTTATTTCCTCTTCCTTCTCTCCTTCTAGGTTTGAAGCTCTGTTTAACGATCTGGAAAAGAAACAAAAAGAGCTGGGCATTGCCAGCTTTGGTGCTTCAATCACTACCATGGAAGAAGTCTTCCTAAAGTGAGTAATAAATAATGACCTAAAAAAAAAAACTTCCACCCATGAAGTCCCACATCAGTTAGAGAGCAAACTCCACCCAATTTGCATTGGAATAAAGTATTCACAGTTACAGATGTTTTCAAATATGTTAGTATTTATGCTAATGTATTTCTGTACATTCAGCTAAGAAAATGTAAAGATTTTGAGCTTGGGCCTTGCTGCGTGTGTCTTTTGGTGGCAGAAGATGTAAGAGTTAGTCAAGAAAAAAAGAATATCTATGTCATCATAGGAAACTTTTAGTTGAACTTGGCATCCATACTAGAAATGACTTTAAAGTTTTGACCTAAGCATGTTTCTGTTGGGGAGGAAGAAATTTTCCTCTACCCTTCTAAATTCTTCTGGCGTGTTTAAGAATTAAACTGATATGAGACAGATTAGCAGGAGAAAATCAAACAAAAGTTTAATAACATGTATACATGAGAGAGACCCAGGAGAACTGAGTAACTCGCCAAAATGACTGAAACCCTCACCTTAAATACCATCTTCAGCTAAAAATAAGAGAGATGTCTGGGGTAGTGGTTTGGGACTTTGGAGGGGAGGAAAGCAATTCACATGGAGAAAAGCAAATGTTTAGTAAGAAATGTTTGTTAGACCTTACAGAGACTATCGGACACAAAGTGTGCTCTGATCTCTAGTCCCTGCCGGAGTTTTCCCACTACACCTACCCTATATTCGTTGCAGGTACCTCTCATGATAGCTCTATTCCTGGAACAGGCCCTTTATCTAAATAATCTTTTAGGCAGCTAAATTGGAGGTAAGAGGAAAGATTTCCTGAGTCTTTGGGGCTTTGATTGTTTTCAGCTGGAAATAACCCACATGCCAAAGAGACATTTTGGGGTGGCAAATTTTGCTCCCCAACATTTCCATAATTTATTTAATTTGTACATGGTTTATTTCTTGCACTGTGAAGAAGTTCAAAAGGAAAATGCCCAGGGAGTTCAGTCTGTTACTTAGCAAAGTCAGATGGCTACCTTTCAAAGGTTGTACAAAATGTCCTTTTTCCTGATAGTGCAATGACAGAGATGAGTCTGTTAGCAGATGGAGGGACCCCTAACTTAGGAAGCCCGCCAAAGTGTGAGTTCTTGCCACTGACTGTGAAAGAATTTGCACAGCCAAGGCAGAGGGACAAAGTGAACAGCTGCTTTATTGCTCAGAAGGGGAAAAGGAAGGAAAGTACTCGAGCAGGGGGAAGGGAAGAAAAGGACTGGAGTGGAGAAGAGGTGCTCAAGAGGGGAACCTTCAGCCAAGAAGGGCAGTAGGGACAGCTCCCCTGTGGGTCGGGCCACGTGGACTTTTTGGGAGGCTTCTGCCATCATGTCCTCCTTCCAGCTGTGATGGAGCCAGTCGGTCCTTGTTTGAGTTTTTCGGTCCTTGTATGGGCTTTTCTGGTTGTTGTCATGGCAGTCGTCAACTGTCATGGCGCTGGTGGGTGTGTCGCTTAGCATACTAATATATTACAGTAAGCGTATAATGAGGTTTAAGGTCCATTGGAAGTCAGATCCTCCACCATCTTGGACTGGGTTCTAACCAATTCTTATTTCTTCTCAGCAGCTGCCCTCAGATACTTAGATAAGAGTAACTGGTTTTTATTTGAGGGAGGAGCATGGGTATAATCCTGGGGGCATCAGCCTTGGTAACAAAAAGGAAAGTTGCTTTTAATCAGAATGCCTGCAATCTAGCGGACTCAGCATCCCCCAAAAAACCATCTGCAAAGATTCTGTTCAGCCACGAAAGTTTTAAAGGGGAATGAAGGAATAATCTCACTTAATCATTGAGCTAGGTGATCAGAGTCATTGCCATCCCCCAGTGCCTGCAGGCTTGTCCTAATAACTGCTAGAGCCTGCTCTTCTATGGCTCAGGGAGGCCTGGGAGGCTCCAGCTTTTCTATAAACAAGAGGCAGAGGGGGTGGGGTTGGGGGTCCACAGGGTCCTTCTCCCTTGCAGATTTCATTCTCTCAGACTCAGGAATTTAATATAGTCAGTATCCCAGTGTTGCCTTAGGGTAATTAAGTTCAGAGAAGGCTGATATACATAAATTAAGGGCTACTTCATTAATTTATAATAAGGAATAAACTATAATAAAAATGACTTATAATAATTACAGCCTCTTTGCCATTCAACCATATGTCCTCTTGTCTGTCTCTAGGCAAGCTGCATAGGGAGCAAAATGGTAATGAGTTATTTTATGAGCCCAGCTAGAACAAGCTTCATAAGGGCAGAGACCATGTCTGTTTTGTCCACTGACTACACTTGGGGCCTCAAACCATGTCTGCCACCTAGTCAATATTCAGAAATGTTCTTGAATGAATAAATGAATTAATGTTATTTAAACCATTATCTCCACAACAGATGCTCTACCTGCCACTGGGAATAACAGGTTAAACCTTTAGACCATAACACCTATGTTGTCTCTCCCCGGGGATTATTGTCAATGTTTGCCACGGTCTCCTTTCCTATCTTTTTTTTTAATAGTAAAATATACATAAATTAAACGTCTTGAATATTTTTAAGTATATAGTTCAATGGTATTAAATACTTCTACATTGTTGTGCAACAAACCATCACCAATATTCATCCCCATTCTTTTCATCTTGTAAAACTGAAACTCTATATCCATTAAACAATAACTCCTCATTCCTCCCTACCCCTACCCTGGCAACCACCGTTACACTCTCTTTCTTTATGACTTATACTACTGTGAGTGCCTCATATACGTGAGATCATACAGTATTTGTCTGTCACTGGTTTGGTTCACTTTGCTTAATGTCCTCAAGGGTCATCCATGTAGCTTATTGCAGAATCTGCTTCCTTTTAAAAATTTAATAATATTCCATTGTATTATATACCACATTTTGCTCATCCATTCATTGGTCAGTGGTTACTTGGGTGGCTTCTACATTTTAGGTATTATGAATAATGTCTCTATGAATGTTGTGTACTAATGTCTCTTTGAGACCTTGCTTCCAATTCTTTTTGATATATATCTAGAAGTGGAATTATTGGATCATATGGTAATTCTGTTTTTAATATATAACGGATGCCATACTGTTTTCTGCAGTGGCGCTAACATTTAACATTCCCACCAGCAGTGCTCAAGGATTCCAGTGTCTTCACATTCTCACCCACACTTGTTATTTTCTGTTTATTTGATAGTAGCCATATAATGGGTGAAAAGTGTAGTTTTGACTTACATTTTACTAATGATTAGTGATACTGAGCATCTTTCCATGTGCTCATTGGCCATTCATACATCGTCTTTGGAGAAATGTCTCTTCAAATCCTTTGCCCATTTTTGAATCAGATTGTTTTTTGTTATTGAGTTTTAGGATTTATCTATATATTCTTGACATTAATTCCTTAACAGACGTATGACTGGCAAATATTTTCTCTTTTTCTATGGGTTGTGTTTTCACTCTGTTCATATTCTCTTTTGATGCACAAAAGTTTTTAGTTTTCATGAAGTACAATTTGCCTATTTTTTGTCTTTTGTTACCTGTGCCTTTGGTATCATATCCAAGAAATCATTGCCAAATCCAAACTCATTAAGCTTTTGTTTTATGTTTATATCACTTGACCATACATGTGGTGGTTTATTTCTGAGCTATTTACTCTATTCCCATGGTCTATTTGTATTGCTTTATGCTAATACCACACCATTTTGATTACTGTAGCTTTGTAGTAAGTTTTGAAATCAGGAAGTATGAGTCTCCCAGTTTTGTTCTTCTTTTTCAAGAGCGTTTTGGCTCTTCAGCATTCCTTCAGATGCCACAGAAGCTTAGGATGGGTTTTTCTATTTCTGCAAAAACTGTCAATGAGAATTTGACACGTATTGCATTGAATCTGAGGATTGCTTTGGGTAGTATTGCCATTTTAACAATATTAAGTCATCCAACCCATGAACACGGGAGGTATTTCCATGTATCTATGTCTTCTTTAATTTCTTACAGCAATGTTTTGTAGTTTTCATTGTACAAGTCTTTCACCTCCTTGGTTAACTCTTTTTGATGCTATTGTAAATAGAACTATTTTTATCATTTCCTTTTCATATTGTTCATTATTTATGTATGGAAATGCAACTGATTTTTGTTCACTTTGTATCCTGCTACTTAGCTGAATTCATTTTTTAGCTCTAAAACTTTTTTTTTGTGGGGTCTTTAGGACTTTTCTTTGTTGGAAGATTTGTTTATTGCTGATTCAATCTCCTTACTGGTTATAGGTCTATTTAAATTTTTTCTTTGTGATTTAGTCTTGGCAGGTTTTATGTTTCTAAGAATGTGTCCATTTCATCTAAGGTATCCAACTTTTGACATACAGTTGCTCATGGTATTCACATTTAGTCCTTTTATTTCTGTGAAATTGGTGGTGGTGTTCCAACTTTTCCTTCTGATGATAGTAATATGAATCTCTCTTCTTTTTTCTTAGTCTGTCTAGCTGAAGATTTGTCAATTTTGTTGATCTTTTTAAAGAACCAACTCTCAGTTCCATTGATTTTTCTACATTTTTCTACTCTTGATATTGTTTATACCTATTCTAATCTTTATTATTTTGTTCCTTCTGCTAGCTTTGAGTTTAGTTTGTGCTGCCTTTTCTTGTTTCTTAAGTTGTAAAGTTGGATTGAAGATTTAAGATCTTTCTTCTTTTTTAATATAAATATTTGTAGCTGTAAATTTCCCCCTTAGTATTGCTTTCTCTGTGTTTTAATTTTCATTTATCTCTAAGTATTTTCTAACTTCCCTGTTGACTTTCTCTTTGATCTATTAATTGTATATAAGTGTATTGTTTAATTTCCACAATTTTGTGACTTTTCCAGTTTTACTTTTGCTACTGATTTTTAACTTCATCTTTCTGTGGGCAGAAAAGATACACTGCATTCTATCTATTCTTTTAAATCTATTGAGACTTACTTTGTGGCCTAACATATGGTCTGTCCTGGAAAAGGTCATAGTGCACTTGAGAAGAATGTGTAAGCTTTTGTTGTTGGGTAGAATGTTCTGTCTTTTAGTTCTCATTGGTTTATTGAGTTGTTAACATTCTTTATTTCCTTACTTATCTTCTGTCTGGTTGTTCTATTAATCACTGTCAGTAGGGTATTGAAGTCTCCAACTATTACTGTAGAACCAACTATTTCTCCTTTATATTCTGTCAATTTTTGCTTCGTATGTTTTAATGGTTTGTAATTAGACGTTTAAATGTTTATAATTGATACATCTTTCGCTATACTGAAAATTTATTAATATATAATATCCTTCTTTTGCCTCTTGGAATCTTTTTCAATTTGAAATCTATTTTGCCTGATATTAGTATAGCCAACCTTGCTCTCTTTTGGTCATTATTTGCATGGAATATCTTTTTGTATCCTTTCACTTTCAACCTTTTTGTGTCCTTAGTTCTCTAATGAGTCTCTTGTAGACAGCATTTAGTTGAAGATAATGTGTTATTGTCCATCACTTCCTAAATTTATAACACTCTAGTTTGAATTTATACCAGTTTAACTCAAATAACATACAAAAACAGTTCCTTTATAGCTCTGGCCCACCTCTTTATGTTGTTGATATCACAAAATTACATCTTTACATACTATGCGTCCAAAATCATAAACTAATCATTCCTTTAAGTTCATTAGTGTCCTAAATTATGTAGAGAACAAAATTTGGAGTTACAAACCAAAGTTACAGTAATACTGGCTTTCACACTGTTCTTTTTTCCTTTAAGTGAATTAGTCTCTTAAATCATGTAGAAAACAAAAAGTAAATGTACAAGCCATTGTTACAATAATTCTAACTTTTATAACTGTCCGTAATTTACCTTTCTTGAAATCTTTATTTCTCCATAAGACTTTGATTTACTCTCTACTGTCTTTTTATTCACCTTTCAAGACTCCCTTGAGCATTTCCTGCAAGGCAATTCTAGGGGTCATGAACTCCCTCAGTTTTTACCTTGGAATGTAGTAATTTTTCCCTCACTTTAAATGACAGTTTTGCTAGACAAAGGATTCTGGGGTTGACATCTTTTTCTTTTAGCATTTTGAATGTCTTCTGGCCCTCAAAGTTTCTGATGAGAAATCTCAGAATCTTACTGAGGATCCCTTGCACGTGATAATTCACTTTTCTCTTGCTTTTAAGTCTTTGATGAAAGAGATTGAAAAAGACACAAACTAATGGAATGATATCCTGTGTTCACAGATTTGAAGAATTAAAATTGTTAAAATGCCCACATTACCCAAAGCCATCTATAAATTCAATGCAATCCCTATCAAATCCAAGTGGCATTGTTCACAAAAATGGAAAAAACAATTCTAAACTCTTTGTGGAGCCACAAAAGTCCTGAATAGCCAAAGTACTCATGAAAAAGAAGAACAAAACCAGAGGCATCACATTTCCTGATTTCAAACCATATTACAAAGGTACAATAATCAAAACAGTAAAGTACTGGCATAAAAACAGACACATAGACCAATGGAACAAAGTAGACAGCTCGAGAAATAAACCCACACATTTATAGTAAACTGGTATTTAATAAGAGTGCCAAGAACACACAACAAAGGATAGTGCCTTCAATAAATGGTGTTAGGAAAAGTTGATATTTTCATGCAAAGGAAAAAATTACAGCCTTATTTTAAACTATACAGAAAAAAATTAATTCAAAGTAGATAAAAGACTTAAATACAAGACCTGAAACTGTAAAATTCCTAGAAGAAAACAATGGGGAAAACTCACTGACATTGGTTTTGGCAACGATTCTTGGATATGATACCAAAAGCACAGGCAACAAAAGCAAAACTAGACAAATAGGACTGCATCAAACTAAAAAGCTCCTTAACAGCAATGAGAAGCAATCAACTAAATGAAATTAATATAGCTATTATGAGGAGTAAGACAGTCTACCAGGGTAGTCTACCAAAACAACAGAAATAAAAGCAAAAATAATCCAAATGGGCCTTAATTAAACTTATAAGCTTTTGCAAAGCAAAGGAAACCATAAGCAAAATAAAAAGACAACCTACAGAATGGGAGAAAATGTTTGCAAATGATGCAACTGACAAAGGTTTAATTTACAGAATATATAAATAGCTCATACAACTTAATAACAAAAAACCAAACAACCCAATCCAAAAAAGGACAGAAGACCTAAACAAGCAATTCTCCAGTGAAGACATACAAATGGCCAATAGGCACATAAAAAAAAATCCTCCATATAACTAATTATCAGAGAAATGCAAATCAAAACTACAATGAGGTATCACCTTCTCACCAGTCAGAATGGAAGGCCATCATTTAAAAATCCACAAATGATAAATGCTGGAGAGAGTGCGGAGAAAAGGGAACCCTCTTACACTGTGGGTGGGAATGTAAATTGGTGCAGCCACTATGGAAAACAGTATGGAGATTCCTTAAAAAAGTGAAAATAGACTTACCCTATGATCCAGCAGCCCCACTGCTGGGCATATTTCCAGAGGAAACTCTAATTCAAAGAAATATATACACCCCAACGTTCACAGCAGCACTATTTACAATAGCCAACACATGGGAACAACCTAAATGTCCATCCACAGATGACTGGATAAAGAAGTTTTGGTATATTTATACAATGGAATACTACTGAGCCATAAAAAATAATAAATAATGCCATTTGCAGCAACATGGATGGACCTGGAGATTGTCATTCTAAGTGAAGTAAGCCAGAAAGAGAAAGAAAAATACCACATGATATCACTTATATGTGGCATCTAAAAAAAGAAAAAAGAAGACACAAATGAATTTAATTATAAAACAGAAACAGACTCACAGACATAGAAAACAGATTTATGGTTACTAGGGGCAAAGGGATTGGAAGGGATAAATTGGAAGTTCGAGATTTGCAAATATTAATTAACATATATAAAATAGATAAGCAACAAGTTTCTTCTGTATAGCATAGGGAACTATATTCAGTTATCTTGTAGTAATCTATAAAGAAAAAATATAAAAATGAATATATGTATGTATATCTATAACTGCAGCATTATGCTGTACACCAGAAATTGACACACTGTAAACTGACTATACTTCGATTTTTTAAAAATCTGAAAAAAACATGTTTTATACCTTAAACATTTAAATGTTTTATTTATCAGTCATACTTAAATAAATAAAACTGGAAAATAAAAAGAAGATAAATGGCAAGATGTCAGATATAAACCCAAATGTACCAGTAACTATACTGCATGAAAATGGACTAAAAAACTCATTTTTCCACTTGTAAGCGAGTATGTGTGCATTTGTGCCTGTTTATACTTATGTGTAGAAAAATATCTCCTCAAAGTTATCTCTAGGTATTAGGAATACTTTTCTTTTTAATTATTTATCTTCTAATATCTTCCTAATGGAAATATATTATCAATAAATAAAATATGAAGAAGAAAAACTTAAGAAAGATATTAAATGATTATATTTTAAGCACAATAGTCCTCTAACCTTTTAGTATCAAACAAAAGACATGCTTCAGGGATATTGTAAGCAGGTTTTTAATAGTACTTAATACATGGTTTTTAAAGGGTAGACATTATTGCTCTTCTTGTAAATGTCATAGTTCAGAATTTATTACATTGAATTCCATAAAAATGCTAACAGGAAGGCATTAAAAAGATTTTGATAGTTCTGTGGCTTAGAAAAGTTACACTTTTTGCATCACATATTTTCTATCAAATGTTTTACCACTTTGACTAGTGCAGTTCATCTTTCCTACCTTCTAATATACTGTAATATATTTTTCTTCTATTATTCTACTTAGGATTTTCTCCTTAGATTATAATTGTAGATTATAATTTTCTCCTTAGATTATAATATACATAATATTATAATTATATATATCCTTCTTAAGTATCCACACCAAAAGACCCAACTTCAGGCACAGGCACTAGTGGGAAATGTGAGGACTTAAAAATCTTACTATCCAATGTCCCTATCATTTCATAACATAAAGAACATTTAACCCCCAAAGGAAAGTTATTATCTTTGATTAAAGGTAAGTCTTTTC